AAATTATTAAAAATATATAAAAGTATATTTTATATTCATTCCATTCAAATTGAATTACCAAAAAAAAAAATTGGCTTAGATTTCCAATGAACTGATAAATTTTTTTAGCATTATTATTTTATTTTATTATTACTTAGCAAAAACATTTCAAAAGCAAATAGAATATATAATTCAAAAGCTGGAATGATTAGCAGGAGGTTGGCTGCGATAAAATCATATGAATTTCATGGAAAATACATTAGGATTTGTTCACTAAAGCAGCAATACAATTGGGGCTGCTTTAGATTACTTTCAAAAGTACATTTACATTTGAGTTTTCCACAGAATCCAAAGCATAAATGAGTTTTATAATATTCCCATATATATCAATAAATTGACAATCATTTTTTCAAGCTGTCTTAAAATCAATTTAAATTGTCTGCTGGCATCTTAAATTTTAATCACTTCACAAAAGATTGCATTTGGCTTAGCTTCGAGCTTCGAGCATTAGCCGTCGGAATTTGGCACCTCAGCGTTGTTGATGGACAATAATCAATCAAATTTTGTATTGGGCCAAATTCCATTTAGCCAAACGGCGCGAGGGTCGACAGACCAGCGTGGCAGTGCAAATAAGGTGTTACGCTTAAGTGATTCGGTGAGCAAGTGCCGACCGATTTTATCTCTGCCAATTCGCATAACATTTGTGTAATTTGTAATTTCGTGGATCATCAATCAGCGCCTCGTCTGTCGGCCAGCTGTCGTAGCATTGATTTATCGATGAGAGCTGCCCAAATATGTGTATATACATCAATACATATATATACTTATATATGTGGGTAACTGGAAACCAAGCACTTATTCAATCTAATTAGAGGCATTTGCTGCCACGCCCCATTGCAGCGTGCACACGTTTTGCAGTTGAGGCCAGGCGAGCCATGAAAAATGCTGCCTTTATGGCGTCTTCCTGCATCCGGTTTCCGGCCAAAAGCCAAGTCGCTCCCTCCTTCTCTTCCCTCTCTCTCTCCTTATCTCTCTACTATATTTATCTTGCTCTGTGTTTTGGCTTTGTCGCTGGCAGCATAAATTACATCGGGACTAGTCTCTACGCTCTGGTCGCCTGCCAACTTTCGCCTTGTCCGGCGCATATTTAATTGTGCATTACGATTATTTTTACATAACTATAAAACTGATTTATGCAAACCGAGTTCTACATCTTCATTACAGATTTTCTCTACTTCCTTTTTTTTTATTAAAATTCCTTTCTAAAAAAATGCGTACATCAAAATAAGTATTTCAATTTCAGTTTTAGCAAAGCTAAATGAAGAGCTTTAAGCCCCCATTGATCAACTACACAAATACCCTAAAAAATTGACGTACTATATATATTGAGCTTATTTCATTTTTCTTATTTTTCATACATTTTCCAGAAATTTCGCATATTTTTAATAAATATTGTAATCAAATCAAATGCCTTGGCTTCTTCATGGCAAGGCCAATAAAAACAACTTTCGGCGGCATAAAAACAAATAAAAAATTATGCCTATTTTTTATCGCGCAAAAAATAAAAATAAAAATAAAAAATACTTGTGAAGAACTTTGTTAAATTTTATGAGGTTTCCTCCCATTGGGCATACCTTGAAACTAATTTGGTACAGGGCATAATGATTGTCTCTCTAGGTATTCCTTTCTTTCTGTTTTTTTTTTTCTTTTTTTTTTTATTTTTGCCCCAGACTTGAGGCTGCTGGCAACTTTTCCACATGAACAGAGTGAAAAGTTGAAATTGAGTTTTGTTAATGCAGAAACACACACACACACACAAGCATATATGTATACGCACACGCACACACACGCACACATGCTGGACGACAACACAAAACAGAAGAAGAAGCAGCAGCAGCAGCTCGTAAACCGAGCAAACGCCAAGACAGGCGCCAGGCAACATCTCCCAGTGGCAAAGTTTTTTGGCGCAGTCAACAACAACAAAAAGGAGCTGTGGGCCCTAGCCCAGGGATTTGAGCGGGCTTGAGGCGAATGAGAGGGGAAGGGGGGAGACTCGAGCGAGCAACAGAAAATGCCGCATGGCTGTTGACGACGCAAAATCCACAGGCGCAAAGCAAAGAGGTGCGACAGACAGGCATATACACTTTGAATAGAGCAGACACTAGAGGGCGAGCGAGAGAGAGAGTGTGTGTGAGCGAGACAGAGGGTGAGTGTAAGCGAGAGTGAGAGGCATTTAAAATTTTAATGTCTTTGCAATAAAATTATTTACTCAGCTCCGGTTCGTTGACTGCTGGCCAGCAGCTACCTCAACTTGGCAGCCTGCTACGGCTGCTTCTCCTGCTGCTGCTGCTGCTGCTGGCCAAGTTAAAAGCACTATGCACTATGAGCTTCAAAGCCAGAAATGCGGGCCAAAATGTGAGAATATGCTGCGACTGTTGCTGCTACTCCTGCTACGCTTTAATTAATATTAAATTACAAATTACAAATCAACTGCAGCTGTAGCAAAGACAGAAGAAAGAAAGCGATTCACAACACACACACATACACAGACACACACACACACAAAGAGAATTTATTTGTGGCAGCAACATTTGTGAATGCTTCATTCATTTCAGTTAGCAAAAAATTATTTTGTATCATTAAAATTTTAAGGGAATTTATGCGCCTTGCCTTGGCTCTATATCTCCCTGTTGCTTGCTCTGCCTCCGCCACGTCCATCGCCTGCCTTCGCCTCTCGGACACGTCAATTTCTATGCAAAGCTCGTTTGTTTGCCTTTTATTTTAGTTGTGCTTCCTTTCTTTCGTTATTCTTTTTTTGTACTTTTATTTTTATTTTCGCTCCCCTCAATGGAATGTAGGCAGCCTGGTCAGCTATAGCTACAGCTACAGCTCCAGCTACACAGCTCCAACTCCAACTCCAGCTCCAGCTCCAGCTCCCAATGCCAATGCCTGCTCGAGCTTCTCTTTTTGGATTTTATTTATTTATTTCCGGAAACGTGCTCTGGAGGATTTTCTAAGCATACTTGAGCGCCAGCAACAAACTCCCAATGGCGCAGCGCTTAGTTAGCATACACACAAATACACACATACACACACTCACACACATACGCACACGCACACTGAGCGAGCGAGACAGACAGCTTGAGAGTGAGGAAACGTAGCAACAATCAGCCGCGTCCGCTTTTCATGTAGTTCATTAAGTTTTTCGCGTGCTCATCCATTTGCCTGTTCAATGCGCGTGTTTTTGGCTCGTAAATACCCTGTATTTATACATGTATGTGGCATATTAACTGTTAGGTAAGCTAATCAGCCTTTAATTGTCTGCGATATTAAGTCGTGCTTTTAGTATTCCTGATGTTCTTTATGACCTGTCATACCCTGTAAAGCAGTAAATATGGCAATACTAAGACTAAATGGTAATTAAAATAAATAAATTAAATTAAAACAAATGTATATATTTATATGTTTATATTTATA